CAACAAAACAACAACAACACACCAACAAACCAACCAAACAAACAAACAAACAAAAACAACAAACGAAACGAAACAAAACAAACACAAAACAAAAAAAACCCCACACACACTAAAGCAAAAAGTCAGCTTTTGCTCCGGCCATTCCGTGTTTCGGAACTTATTTGGCTATGTGACACGCTCAATGTTTCAAATGGACGTCATTTTATAAAACCACTTTACACCTGTGCTACGTTCCTAATCAAATTCCTAGTTCTCGTCGCACACACCGCATATCTGGGTATAGACGTAGCGATAGTCTAACCACAAAAGATGGACCTGGGAGATTGGTGAATGAGGTCGTTGAAGTCATCTAAACTCCTTTTGTATCTTTTCTGCTCTGCAACGAGCTAGTGCCTGACTTCGAGTTGGGGAAGTAAAGGCGGCGTGGAAAGGAACTGGCCACCCTACCACAATGTGCCGAAGGCCCAAGAAGTTGCCTCACTAACAAGGCTATCTGCAATGTCCGAATCGGATGTGGGAACAAATTGACTTTGTCTTGAAGTAAGTTCTTCACCGCCAGTGTGTCTCCCCGGCGTTTGTGGTGTAATGGTTAGGCTCTTCGTCGCCGCGTTCTGGGGATGTGAGTTCGATTTCTAAGAGAAGTTTTTTGTTTTTTTAAATCGAGCAGCTCCGTTTTGTCGTCTTCCTTCCATCGATTGCTGCTCTCTTTGGGGTGACTTATGAGATCACCAGAAGTTTGCCAAACGCCCCTCTAAGCTGCTTCAAGATAACTCAGGAGCGAAACGTCTATATAATCAAAATCACTTCTTCCCTTCCGTAATTTGGGAACACCCATTGATACAGGTCTTACGAATTAAAACAAAAAAGCAGTGTGCACAAAACTCGAAACTGTTTCATTACTACATAAACACCCCGTTCACCCCTTTCGGACCAATCTCATAAGCAATCACAAGCATTGATTGTGTAAGTTAACATTTAGGCTAGTAGAGTCTACCTAAAAAAGTCGAGGGAGAATAACTTTTAAGTTGTCTAATAAAAAATGATAGATATCATTTGTATTATATACATACTTACAAACACGCGCACGTGCGCACAAACACATAAACACACACACACACACACACACACACACACA